GGGTGGGGGGGGGGGGGGGGGGGGGGGGGGTTGTTAACCAGTGCATGCTTACGAAATCCTTTTTCATCTGGTATGCAGTATTTCTTTCTTTTTTCGTTATTTATTTTTTTAAATGTTTCAGGTTGTTGGAGATGCTGCTGCATCATGTTCAGACACTTCCTCAGGATTTTCTGAAAGATTTCAGCAATGGGTTACCGATGAAAACGTGTTTTTCTCTTGATGAGGTGGGAAAACCAGTGTTGTTGCCATTATTTCACTCATTCAACCCGTCCGAAGGATGTGAATTACCTACATGAAGAAACAAATGACATAAGATGATTAGAGGTGAATTTTGTTACAAGATAGATTTATCCAAACTTTCAAGTTGTAAATTGCAGCATTTATTTAAGTAGGAAAAGGAAAGAGTATAAGTAGGAACAGGGTATTCTTTTAGGAGCTCATTTCTTGATGTTTCCAGTCTTTGTAAATATTCGTAGGTGTGAACTAAATTGGAATTATATTTAAATTCCTGTAATATATTTGTTGCACATTTGGTTTTATTTTCATTCTGTTGATAGCCAAGTTATCTCCAACCCTACACCAAAATTTGAGATAAGTTTTTCATCATTTTGCACCAAATTTGAACCCATTATAGCATTATACTATAAGTTGCACCAAATGAACAATTTTTAATTTTTTTCTTCATTTTTTTTAACAATTTTTACATTTGAAAAATTATTCATTTATTTAATTTAATACTACAAAAATAATTACGTTCGTTAACAAAACTATTAAATTCATTAGTTTAATAATCATGTTTCATTTTAATTTTAAATAAAATTGTTTGCTGTATTTTAAAACTTTTTGAATACTTTTATTTTAATTCATTACTTGATTATTATTGATTACATGATTAAAGTTTATTATAAATAATAATAATTAAGAATTAAAATTAATGTATGATATTAAAATGACACAAATATCTTTAAAAACATTTGGTGCTAAATGAAATAAAGGCAAAGATGATTTTAATAAAAATGGTGCAAGCTTTGGTGTAGGGTTGGAGTGATATTACACCAAATATTTGATGCAAAATAGGGAAAATGGTGTTTTGGTGTAAGGGTTGTACCTTAAGGCCATCTCCAACTCAATACCAAAATTTGCACTATTTTGTGTCAAATTTATGCCAAATCTTACACCAAATTAAAATTCTTCTCCAATCATTATACAAAAACTTACACCGAATAAACAGTGTTTAACAATTTCTTCTCTTTTTATATTCTTACTAATTTATTTATTTGAAATATTATTAATGTATTTTACAAATACATAAATTATTAAATAAATAATTATGTTAAATTAAGGAAAAATTACTTATAAGTAAAATATTACTTATAAATAAAAAAAATATTTTTGTATAAAAAAATATACTAATAAGACAAAAAAAATACTTATAAGTAGAAAATTCACTAATAACTAAAAATTATTTTAAAGTACAAAATTAACTTATAATTAATAAAGTTTATTTATAACTAAGGAATACTAACATAAAATTTAGGTATATATTTTTAACCTTTTTTAACTTAGAAAGTCAGATATTAACTTACATATAAGTAAAATATCTCTTATAAGTAAAAAATTCATGCAAGAAACAAAAAATTCAAACTTTCACTAAGAGACATACACATAACTTTACTTTTAAAAAGAACTTTCAAAATTAGTGGATGATAAACTCCTAAGTAGGGATTGGACTGTTTTAAAAATTTCCACTAAAATTACTCATAATCGATCTGCTTATAAGTGCTGAAAATTGGCACTTTAAAAAATGCTCATAATCGGTACGTCAGAACTCCCCAACAGGCCCTTAGCCTCTTTTAACCCCCCCACCAAACAGGGGAGGAAATGATTGCTAATGAAAATCGATCCGATCCGATCCGATCCATCTTCAAGTCAGAGAAAAAAAATTCAAAATTAGCATCATGGGCATAATGGTCATTTCATAGGCAACAAATGTCCCCGTGGGAAACTGCTGCTTTTGTCTTTCATTAACGTTTGCGAAAAGAGCCCAATTGCAGCAGTCATCCTCGCTGTTAACCCATACACACGCACAAAGTCTCCAAATTAATCCCAATGTATGGAGGGAGCGTACATGCAAAGAGAAATATATGAGCACACATCATTTTGAGAAAGGAGTAAAGCGAAAACCAAGTCCCATTTGTAGGGTTCTCTTCAAACTTTTAAAAATACCCCAAACCCAACTTCCCATTATTGATAAAAATTTAAAAAGTAAAAATTTCGATAAAATCTTAACTACACCAGAATGCTGGTTCGAGCATGAACTTCAACCTGACGATCAGGTCCTGGAACTTAAGATCTTCGCATTGATATTACCTAGGTTAGTTTCGATTTTCTACTATCCCCATTAGTTTGTTCTGGGGGGTTTTTAGTTGATTTTAAGCTCAACATTTTTCGATATGTTGCGTTCTGGGTTTAATTTATAACTGGGTTTCGAAGACATTTACTTGAACTTATTATTTGGATTGAAATTTGGTTGTCACACAACCAGATCTGAATGAATTTTGATTTAGTTTTTGGATGATAGATTTAACATTTTTGTTTAGTTCAATTTTGGACATGAGTTCCAAAATATAAGATTTTGAATGAGAGATCTGTTGTTTACTAGCGCCACTTAATTTCAAGAGTCCTATTTAGTTCTGCTGTAACTGTACTTTTGGTTAAAGAAAAAACATATTTCTAGTTTTTGGCTTGTTTTATTGAGTATCTATGGAATGTAGGTTTTGGATTCATTTGTGATCTGATATAGTTTGAAAATAGAGAATGAGGATACATACATCAAGGAAACCCGAGAAAAGACGGTCCTTTTAGAGACAGAAATGAAGTCTGACGGACATCTGGATTATGCTGTTTTCCAGCTTTCACCTAGACGATCGCAGTAAGGATATTTTTAAGTTATATTACTTGATATTAGTTTCAGAATAAATGCCTAAATAGTTTCCATCATTAGTTATTAACTCTGGATGCTTTTGGGACAGCTGTGAATTATTTGTTTCCAGCAATGGAAACACGGAGAAACTAGCGTCGGGACTGGTTAAACCATTTGTAGCACATTTAAAGGTTGTGGAGGAACAAGTTGCATCTGATGCTCAATCGGTGAAGCTTGAAGTTGGAAGGCAAAAGAGTTCCAAAACATGGTTCACAAAGGGAACACTCGAGAGGTAGTGCATCTTGCAACTTACTAATTAATTTATGTGCATAAACCCATATACCAATATAATTGAGAAATTCTATTATTCAGGTTCGTTCGGTTTGTAAGTACACCTGAGGTTTTGGAACTGGTAAATACCTTTGATGCTGAGATGTCTCAATTAGAAGCAGCCCAAAAAATATATGCAGAGGTAGTTATTTTTGTATAATCTGTAGATGTTCATTTGGTATTGCTTTGACGCAATGTGCACTAATTTTCTCTCCATCATTCATTAATTTCAGGACAGAGGAAATCAGCTTTCTGGTATGGGCCTGAGTCTTTTTAATTCGGTTTTGTTTGTCTAATATTCTGTTCTGCATTGATTTCCATGTAATCTGAACATGGAAAAGGAAGCAGTATCATTGCCTTCAAATAGTTATTTGTGTTTAACTAAAGTTCTCTCTACAATATTCGTTTTCTTGTTTGTGCAATCTTTCAGGAAGAGGTATATTTTTATGAATATCCAGTACTTCTTTTAGTAACTATAGTCTAAAATCAGCAACCTCTCAATTCAATTGAAGAAGCTTCATCATGCATTATTCAAGGATTGCAATCTTCTTTCAGCATCTATTAAAGTTACTGTCCTCGCTTATAGATGGTCAACAAATCAGTCTTTTCTTGTTTCACTAGTGCCCTATACTTCTCCAAAACAACAAGAGATAAAGGAAAAGAAGATGAAATATGCCATCCACTATACGTAACATTTTGTTGCGAGCCAGGTTACCACAAAAAATAAAAACAAAAATTGAAAATCGGACACTGGTTTTGTTCATGTTTGTTTTACACGTACCTGAAGTTTTTGATCCATAATTCTGGTAGCTATTTTGCATTATTTGTGGATCTTGGAGCATTTCCAAGAGACTATTTATTTATAAAGAGTATCTTTAAATTTAGAGAGTCAAATTTTATGTACTCCAACAATACTCTTATTTTGGCTCTTCATTTTGCTTTTATCAAGAAACATTTATTGATTTCTCCTCATATTTTATTTAACATAGTTTTTTATTTGCCAATGATCAATCAATTTAAATGTGGTCTGAATAGTTTAAAAGGTAGAGGATTAAATTTGTACTTATTAAATGCAATCATTATATATTAAGAATAGAGAGTAGATTTGGCTCTCTAAATTTGGAGAGTCAAACTCACTCTTGAAACTCATTTTTAAGCAACTCTTTAAAATTAAGAGCATTTCGTATCGAGAGAGTTTTTGGAGATGCTCTTATACTGTAAGTCTTTGAGATATGTACAGTTCACAAGGTTATTATTTTTCAGATATTTCAGCATGTTCATGAGTCTTTCTGAATCATCACTATATTGAAGGGAGTTCTAAATTTATTAGATTGCTTGATTTACCTAGGCAAGCATATCTGCATACTAATTGTTTCCCTTTGTGTTCTGTAATACTGAAAGAACAAGCAATTTATTAAACAGTCATTCTAACTGTGTTGCAATAGTCATCTCAGTTGTCTTTGTGATGCAGTTTAGTCATTATGATCTAAGCCACGAAGACACTATGCGCATATTATTTCATCTTCGAATATGCATTGAATTTTTCACTAGTTGGGGTGTGGATTTGTTGTTAATACTCGATCTTACTCGATCTATGAATTGCTCTAGGAGGGGGCACATCAGGCGTGACAACTTCAGCTGATATGACCAAGTATTACCTCTTCCCTTTCTCATTCATATAACATCCTGCTAAAATTTAACTGCTCTTTAAGCTGTGGATTGGGCACTCTGATTATATTTCTGTTTTTGCTTAGTTGTCATATGGCTTATTGGTAAAAGTGATTTGTGGTATGTTTCCATTTTACCATGGATAATAATTAATTGTACTTTCTTAAGGCAGACATGTATGTGCAGTGTGCTATTTTTTAACCAAAATTGATATCATTATGCAGTATTAGGAATGGTAAATTTTTTTTTTTTTTTTTTTTTCGTTTGGTAACTGGACTTCATTGAAGAGGTTGGTTCTTGCTGGAAATTTGAGAGTTTAAACTATTAAGGGCACTGATGACTCGAATTACATTAAACTTGTGAACATTTAGTCGCACTGTACCATGAATCAAGCCTGGTTGCATGCTCTTGGAAAAACCTTATTCCTATTTAAGTCATCTTCAGTTGTAAAATGTTTTTGTACTTTTCTTTTCATGTAATATGCTCTTGCTGATATGTTGAAAGGCCACCAAGAATCGTCCGCTTCTCATTCTTTTTCTTTCCTTCCCAATCTGACAGTTGTACGCTCATTCTTGTTTTCTGTGGTCACTACAATATAGGAAGGAATTACTTAGAGCCATTGATGTGCGGCTTGTCACAGTTCAACAGGACTTAACAACAGCTTGTGCTCGTGCTGCCTCTGCCGGTTTCAATGGTGATACAGTCTCTGAACTTCAAATGTTTGCAGAATTTTTTGGTGGCCATCGCTTAAAGTAAGAACTATAATATTCCTTTGTTTCTTGCAAACTCAGCCACAACTCTAGATTACTCCCTTCCCCGGTGTGTTTAATATGCGTGCTTGAAGGCACACTGTGTGCATATTTCTCATTGTCGTACACAAGTGCAGATAATATAAACGCATTCCCAAATAGTCATCTTTAATTATGTTGGTTTTACGAATTATTCCTTTTCTGAAGCAGACCTGAGATTTTTCTAGTTCGGAACAAGTTCAATTTCTTTTGTGTGGTTTCAAGATCCTGAATGTAATTACTCACCGCTTTCATTTCCAGTGTACATGAAATTTGATCTATACAAGATACAAAAGAAATTGTCATCAATTTCCAAAATCATTGTGCACAAAATGTCTCTATAGAATATCAATAACTCACCAATAATTTTTTAGATTAACTGTTAAATTCATATTCCCCATGTGCAAAGGCAAAAGAAACATAAAAGAGAAAGGAATTTTTTTCTGCTCTGGAAAATAATTGCCCTTCAGTAGAAGGAAAATTTCAATAATTTCAGAATCCAACAAAATTCTCTTGTTTCTCCACAGTGAAGCCTGCAGCAAATATATATCTTTGTGCGAGAGACGGGGAGATTTAATCACTCCATGTGGAGCCCAGGACGGAGCTGTCCGATCTTCATATGGGTCGGACATGTCCATTGATGAGGACCCCTCCCCTCAGCCGACAGGGACCGACGCAGCCCAGACCCAACATCAAGGAGATCGCTCCACGTTTCAGCAGCCCACGCCTTCGACGTCCTTTTCTGTACAGCACACTTTCAGTTGTAAATCCAGCATCGAAAGAGATGACTCAAACAAACAAAATGACGAGGTTGTTGAAAAAGAAACGAAGAAAGGAGAGAGTTCAAGCGCTGATCAGACTGAATCGACTCGCATGAGTCATCATGTGAGGCGACTCAGCGTGCAGGACCGGATAAGCCTGTTCGAGAACAAACAGAAGGAGACTTCAGGGAGTGCTGGGAAGCCCGCAGTCCGGAAATCGGTGGAGCTTAGAAGGCTGTCGTCTGACGTGTCATCTGCCCCAGCTTCTGTAGAGAAAGCTGTGTTGAGGAGATGGAGTGGTGCCAGTGACATGAGCATTGACTTAAGTGCTGAAAAGAAGGATAATGAGAGCCCATTGTGCACTCCATCCTCTGTGTCGGGTTTGCAGTCCAAGTCTGAAGAGAAAAAAGCTTTGAATCTGAATGATACACTGGCAAGTTCTGTTAAGCCAGAGTCAAGAATTATTCCGGGGATGGCTTTGGGTCGGGTTGTTGATAGTGGATTGAAAGATAATTCTTCTTTTAGTAAGTCAAATGATGGTTCCGAATCTAGCATGTCTAATCCAAATTTGAGTACTACGGAATTTGATGGCCCGAAAGATCAAACACATGGGAAGTCTCAATCAAGGTCATTTATCGTAAGGGCTGAGGATCAAGAAAATTCAGAAGAGAAGTTCAGGTCTTTCCCTGATAGTAAACATGTTCTGATAGGGTTCAGGGATCAAGGAAAGTTGAAGGGTGGTTCTCTGAGTGGTAAAGTGCTTGGTGATGTAAAAGGGAAAGTGGCTTCTGATACACAATTTACAGAAGTGAAGGATCAGGGTGCTCTTCAGACACAGATTCGGACTTTTGAAATCATAGGTGGTGGGCAAGTTGAAATTTCAGATTGGAAGGAACACTATGAACTAAGAGACCAGCTTGTTACGCAATCACGTTCAAAGTCTCCTCAGAAAATTGTGGGAGACTCTGGACAGTTTGAAGGCCTTGCTGGATCAAGAATTAGAGAAGCTTTTGCTGCTCATTATAAAGGGACTGAAAGGTCCTTGTCTTCTATGTCAAGTAAAAGATCTGCAGGGTACACAGATGAAGCTGGAAAGAAAGAGTTGGTTTCATCTGAGAAAATATGTGGTAGTTCTGTGTCAAAAGTTGAAGATTCGGGACTTCAGAAAATGAAGTTTCAGAGACTAGTTTCAGCACCTGAACAGATCAACAAGTCACTACTTTGGAAAGACGAAAGCAATTCTGTTTATGGAAGTAGAACATCATTTTCTGGTAAATTGATGATGGAGGGGCAGGATGGCTTTGATTCATTTTTAACCCCAACTTCGGAACAAGTGCAAAGGCTAAGGCTTGCAAATGGAAACCAGGAACTGAATGATAAGTTGAAAATTAAAGCAAATGAGCTTGAAAGGCTCTTTGCTGAGCTACAGCTTCCTGGAGATCAGTCCAGTTCTGCCTGTAGAGTCAGGTCCGCTGATGTGCCAGGTGAGTCAACAGCAAGTTCGTCATACACCAAACCAATTGGAGATACCACTCCTCGATTATCTGACAATTACCTGTCAATTGAACCGATAGGGAGCTCTAACAACACGATCAAGTTCAGTGCTGCTCCACTGATGACAACGGTTGAGAATCAGAAGTATGGTGATGCTGAGCTTAATTTTTCAGAAGGCGCTCGAGGGAAATTGTATGACATGTATATGCTGAAAAGGGATGCAAAACTAAGGGAAGAATGGGGTTCCAAAAAAGCAGAGAAAGAAGCCAAGCTGAAGACTATGCGGGATAGGTTTGAGCAGAGTACAGCTGAGATGAAGGCCAAATTTTCAGGATCTGCAGATAGACAGAATTCAGTATCCGGTGCTCGCCAACGAGCTGAGAGACTCAGATCATTTAATACTCGGTCAAGCATGAAAGGGGAGCAGGTTGGTTTATAGTTGTGTTCTAGACATATACACCACTAACAATCCAAAGCATCATATCTGTATGTTTTGTTATTTTAGGAGTTTACTGGAGTTCCTCTTCTGTGATTTTAACCGACCGCGTAAAAGTTTCCTTTTGACAGAAACGAATAGATTTTGAGGATAGTGAAGGTGATAAAGATGCAACAGAGTTTCAAGAGCAGGAACATCTTCGTGGAGATAGCACATGGAATGAGGCCTCTTTTGGACATGGTGTCTCTAGGAGTGCACCTGGTAAGATGCTACCCACTAAAAGTTTGTCCACATCTATGACTCATGCCTCAGCAGCCCCCACCCCTCGATCTGCTGTCAAAGCTTCCATTCTAAATTCTGGAAAGGGGAGAATGCAATCTGAAAATCCACTTGTGCAGTCTGTCCACAACTTCTTTGACACAAGAAGAGAAAATACCCAGCTTTCTTCTGCAGCCAGTAAGACAACTCGACTACAACTAAGAAACTATGCCCGCGACAAGAGCACTAGTGAAGAAACACCAATTGTCAAGGAGAGATCACGCCGATCACAGTCACTGAGGAAAAACTCTGCAAATCTCAGTGAGTTAAGGGATGTATCACCTCTGGACTCGGAAGATGCTGTTTTGACACCACTAGAACTTGACGAGGAAGTTGTGAAGAATGATGAGACCAGGCCTTTTCTTAAAAAAGGTAGTCGTGCAGACTTTGTTGCTCCATCTAGAATTACAAAGAACATCTCTATGACACCCGAGCCTCAAAATAATGAAGAGGATAATAAAGACTTGGCGTTTGAGCCAGAAGACATGGGGAATACAGTTAAAGGCGAAGAAGAGGAAGAGTTCGAGAGCATGGGCCCTAAAGGTCACAAGGACTTGGACAATGGAAAACCAAGACTGAGCCTGGGATCAGAGAAGTTGGTAAATTCAGGATGTGAAAATGGTGATACTATGAGATCATTTTCTCAAGTGGACCAGGCTCTGGGTGCTGAATTGCCTGCTATAGTGCAAGATTGGACAGCAGAAAGTCCTCTCTCTTGGAGCACTCCCATTCAACACCCCTTTTCTTATCCTCGTGAGATGTCAGATGTCGATGCCTCTATTGACTTCCCAGTAGGTAGTCCTGCTTCATGGAATTCAAATTGTCTTAGACAAATAGAGACTGATACAGCTCGAATGAGGAAGAAATGGGGAATGGCTCAAAAGCCGATGTGGGTGGCCCATCCTTCCAATAACATATCTCGCAAGGATATGACTAAAGGATTTAAACGGCTGTTAAAATTTGGAAGGAAAAATCGTGGTTCGGAGAATTTGGTCGACTGGATCTCTGCAACCACGTCTGAAGGAGACGATGATACAGAGGATGGACGTGATCCTTCCAACCGTTCATCGGAAGATCTGAGGAAGTCAAGAATGGGATTTAGTCAAGGGCAACCTTCCGATGAAAGCTTCACTGAAAGCGAGTTTTTCAACAAACAAGGTGAATCATGATCTCTCGCTATTGACTAACTTTCTCCTTTTGTTTACTGGATTAATGGTTAACTATGCCAACTTTTCATGATTTCTGTTTCGTGTGAGTTTGATTTCACAAGGATAACCGGGTTGAGGCTTTCTTGTTTACCATTACAAAGATCTCAGGAAGGGTATGCCAAAACTTGCCTAGTGTAGGAAAAAACCATTAAAATTTATATTTCTTGATTTCCTACGATTAATTTTTGCACGAGGCTCACCAGTTATCATGTCTGCAAGATTGTCTCTGCATACTAATGATTCCTATAGAGGAATGTGTAGGTTATAATTCACATGCACTCTGTATACGAAGAATGAGTCGGAACATTTTGGTCAGTGGTTTTACAAGAGTTGGTTTTATTTTTTTTATTTTTAATTCTTTCCATCCACTAATTTCTTTTCTTTTTTGTTCAATATTCAAAGCCGAGAGTGGAGCATACTAGTTTCGGACTTGATTTGTTTATGCCTTGTCCTTCTTACAGTTCAATCTTCACACAGTTCAATTTCAGCACCTGCGGCTTACTTGAAACTGAGGGAGGATCATATATCTGTAAGCTCAATAAAAGGTGTCTTCAGAGTATCTTGTTGCTTAGTTTCCTGTGCTGCAACTTGATATATGATATGAGCTGAAGAAATAAATGCTTCACTGNGTGTCTTCAGAGTATCTTGTTGCTTAGTTTCCTGTGCTGCAACTTGATATATGATATGAGCTGAAGAAATAAATGCTTCACTGGACATCAGACTCTGCTTTACCACTATTGCTTGAATCGAACATGTTTGGTTGTGCTTAAAAGTAATTTTTCGAACTGTAAGTTTTGTTTGTATAAAGCTTAACCATAAGAATCATGTTTTGGTAAAATAAGTTTGACTTGCTTTTAAGTACAGCCAAACATGCAGATACATGGTTAATGAGTCGCCCCCATTCTGATTTAACAGCCTAGTACACTGACCATTAAAAGAAAATGAGAAAAGCTTCTTGCTTTGTGGTGACACTGGCAGACTGCGATACGGCTATAATGCTTGTCTGGTCTATTTATTACTTACGCATTGGACATAACTTACTTTAAATTGCAATTGGTTTACCCGGAAGGTTGCTTGGTAAAATTCTGACGGGTTTTTGCAGCTCCCAGGTCATTTTTCTCATTATCAACATTCCGGAGCAAGGGAAGTGAGTCGAGGCCTAAACAACACTCATGAGGAGAAACGACATTGTTGGGGTCATGGAGGATTCTAAATGAATTGATTGGACATTATCTATATATTAATCAGGGATGACTGTGTTCTTCCAGGGGAATCTACTCATTTCTTGTTCTTGGTGTATATTGTATTGATTGGACAGTTCCAATTGGCGGAACGACAATGTGATTTTGGTAGTTAAGAAGCATTCTTTTCCAGTTGTAATATACCCTCCGACTCTTTAAAAACAAATGTCAGCAGCATACAGAAGTGTCATCACCTTCTATTGCTTGTGCAACTCTGAGGTTCATATACGGGACCGTGTAGTCATCACACCAAAGATATTCGAGAGAGAGTGTATTTTTAATTTTTGCCAAAATAAAATAAATAATGGATTCTAATTTTTCAAGTATGGAATTTCATTAGAAGTGAAACGAAAAATGAAATGGATCAATGCATCTTCTACGACTGGGGCAAAACCCCAATCAAAGTATGTATTGCTTCTGAGCATGTGAATTCGCAGGAGCAGCTCTGATATTTTATTAATCTCTACGGGTATGAAATGAGGAAGGCTAGCGTTCGCAATAGAAGGAAGAAAAAGAAGACTTCAGTCTATATTTTCTTGTACCGAATGGACGATATATGCCGTCTCATGCCAGGAGAAAGTCGAAGTGAGATTCAAACCGCCAGGTCTTTGATTTGTTTCCTCCTCAGGAGCAGTGTTTGGAACAACCTTTTTCCGCCTCATCAATGTCCCGTTTTGCGTATAAAAATTCTGCAGAGTCACCTATAGAGAGAGTAGAGACCGAAGGAAGTCCTTTCCTTTGCGTAGACTTTCTTGGCTTTCATCTTTAATCTGGATGATATAGATTCTCTTGGGTTTCTTTACATCAATTTATAATGGCAATTCTGCTGCAAACGGAATGCTAGAAAAAGAGGTTCAATACTACTGTTACAAAAAAATGTCAGAACGTATTTAGGCCAGTAGATGGAAAAACAAAGATAAACAGATCTACCATCTATAAACCATTGAATCAAAGATGAAGTAATTGACAATGCAGATTTCCTACTTGGGTAGTTGATTCGTCTTGTAACTCAGAGGTTTGGCTCCATCAATAGGCCTTTCATCATCTTCTAGCGCAGCTAGCTGTGCTCCAGAACCCAGACAGACCAAGATCTCTTCTACAAGACATTAGAGTATCAAATGCATGAGAAACAATATTTTCTACACATCTGATTTTCTTTTACCATTCGCAGTCCATTTAGGGATGGCAAGGGGTCGAGCCGAGCCCACGAGCCGCTCGCTAGCTCGTGTTTTTTTTTTTGCACCTTTTTTTTTTTTAAATTCAATTTTTTGGACGAGCTCACGAGCCACAAGGCCCACGAGCCGAGCGAGCCCCCTGCTCTGCTCGGGCTCGGGCTCGGGCTCGTCAAATGCTCACGAGCCGAGTTTTAAAGAGCCGAGCGGCCGAGCTGACGAGCCGCTCGACCCGTTTGACATCCCTAAGTCCATTAGACATTCATAGTTGAGAGATTCTCTATACACTCGGCCATCCCCCGTCTTCCCATCTTCTGCTGTTACGCATTTTCTATATCGAAAATGTACTACAATTGTACGGTGTCAAGTTTGGTAAGATAAAAATCAAGTACGGATGTCAAATTCACAGATTGAAATTCAATTTATTACTAAGTACTATAATTGAGTAGCTTTTATTTTATCTAGACAATCGAATGTTGTAATCAATGTTACAAAATTAAATCTAATGTGATTGTGATGATAAATCCAACGATATTATACAAATTTGAAAGAATAAATCAATATGAGAAAGAATAGAGCATGATTTCACCAATCAACGGTGTTTCTCAATTATATAGGTCCTTTTTGATTCACATTATTTCCAAAAAAAAAAAAATGTATTTTTAAACAGTGATTTGATATCATTGTAATCACACATTTTTCAATAAAATAATAGTACATGCAAATCCAAAACATTTTCTTATTTTTTATCCACACATTTTTTGTTAATACATTATTCAAAAATGCATTCTTATTAAAATAATGAGGCTCAAACAAGGGCATATTTACCTCTAATCAATTTTTCTAAGTTTATAAGCAATAACTCTAATTTAATCTACTCACCATTTCGAGTGTTGAGTAAAAACTATTCTTATATTTTAATTTCAATATCTCTATTCCAAATTAAAATATAGAAATTATCAAGTTCATGCTTCAGAGATTTTATACATTTTCTTGAAACCTAGGAAATCTATGTTATTTTATTCTAAGTAGGCACCTAAATTTTCTTCTCTCGAGGGCCAGAATTTAAAGCATCAAATCATTCAATTATTGATCGGGTAATTGAAAGCATTGAAATAATCAACACAAATAAGCATAATTGAAAAAATCTTATAGAAATAACTAATATAAATCAAAATATGGTCTCAAGTTAGGGTTACATCAAACCCTTAATTAAGAATTTAGTTCATGATAGAAGACATGGAAACTATCAGATTTATGAGGAACAACATAGGTGAAGAGAAAAAAACTATCTTAGTATAGATTCAATCTTCTCCAATTTATTGATCTTGTTTTCTCGCTTTGTTCCTTGCCTTTTGCCTTCTGGAGTCGTTGAATTGTCGTCCCCCAAGTGTTCTCTTGAACAATATTTATACTATCTTGGAAGTCCCAAGAAGAATTGGAGTTTGATTAGTCTGTCATGGCGTCACGATCATTCGTCTTCAGGCGCTACGGCGCAAATCTCTGGTGATCTCCATTCTTTGCTAACGATGCGGCGCCAGCCTCCCTGCTTATTCTACCTTAGTGCCCAGTCAGTGGTGCTGCGATGCCACTGTGCTTGTTGCTTATTCTCCCAATTTCCACCTTTGATTTTGGCTATTGTTTGTCTTCTCCTTTACTCTTTAATTCCTTCAAGCCTCAACGTTCATCATTTACACCAAACTACCTTACCTATAAAACAACACGAACTAACAGATGAAAACGTTCTAATTTGCTGAAAGACAATCAAAATATCAAATTGAAGTGGGCATTAGAACAATGAGTGAAACTCACTCATCATCAGCCATCACCGTGTTGTCAGTACTCAGCAGTGCTTGTAATGCTTTGAATTTTCTGTGCATAGTAAAGCTAGACACATCACTCTGAGAAGGTCCTTTCTTCATATAGGATGCATCAGCAGGAGAAGTGCCATTAAAGTATGGTGCCCTGCATCCCACATCTGTTCTTGATGAGTTCTCCCTTCTTTCAGATTGGACTGTGCAGACAATTTAGTGCTATCCATATCAAATCTTGACCCATCGGCAGATGCTGACTTTGGGCTAAAATCTTCCACTTCTATTGTTTTAGGGGCTAAATAAAGATTCCAATTGGTGTCGTTTCTTGATTTTGCCTTCCAAATCTATACTTCCTGTGAAAGCATTCCTGAAATAACCACGAGCTCGATAGCAAAGGAAAGGTTGTCCGCAATCTGTCATCACCTTGTGTGTAAGGTTTTATTGACTTTAATCTCATGACAAACTGATGTAGAATAGGTGGAGAATTTTAAAAGCTGTGAGAGTTGATGAAACCAGCAGAAGAAGCAGAATACATATAGTAAGAAAAGAGAAGAGGGGGAGGAGAGAAGGAGAAGAAGAGGGGCGGTGGAAAAAGCCTGTGGCTTTCAATTCATACTCATTTCCATCAAATCTACATGCAACAGGCTGCATGCCTCAATAAATATACAAACAAAGGCTGCATGCCTCAATATAATATACAAACAAAAGATTGGGCTAGGGCTAGCCCAAAACACTATACAAGCCCAAAGAAAATAAACAAGGACTGGACCAATACACAAAACATAAGCCCGGACCAATACACCAAACATAATATGAGCCCAAATAAAAGTCCAACATAGATGTCCTCTTCAACTCTTCCGGGGTGGGAGAAAACTCGACTCTGTCGAGAGAATAACTCACAGAAGGCTGCAATCAATCGCCCAACCATAAGCTGAGTGGTTGGACAAACCTCTTCCGACATCCATATACACGTGTGATAGGTGGTCTGGGTAATAGAAGATCATACTGACTCCTATAAAGCTCCAACAAGTCAGGATCAAGTTGTTGGAGTGTCTCTCTAGGGATCCATGTGCAATCAGAGTCAGGTCGTCCTACCCAACGAACAAGAAAGCGCTGAATTTCTCCATCATTGGTCAAAATAATCTGTTCATCTAAAATAGCATCAATCTTATCTTTGGGTATTGTGACAGGGGGTGTTAAATTAGGGGTAGCAATAGGTTCCGGTTGAAAGTCAACAGATGGGGGTAGAAAAGGGTCATCAGAGGGTTTAAAATGACCTTTATAAGCAACTAAATCCTCAATATTGAAAGTAGAGTGGTAACCAAAATGTGAGGGAAGATCAATGACATATGCATTTGGACCAACACGATTTAAGATTTTAAAAGGACCAGCGCTACGGGCTTGCAATTTGGAAGCGGATCCAGATGGACGCCGTTCCGGTCTAATTCGGATCATCACATAATCCCCAATTTTAAATTCAATATATCGTTTATGCAAATCAACTCGAAGTTTATATGATGCATTACTTGCCTCTAGTTGTTTATTGATCTCAATATGCAAGTCATGAAGATGTTGTACAAATGCCTCAGCTGACACAGACACATTAGCATGTGGGGACATAGGGATAAGGTCTAAAGGCTTCCTAGGTTTATAACCATGAACAACTTCAAAAGGACTCATGCCTAAAGACCGATTCACAGAACTGTTGTATGCAATTTGGGCTATCGGGAGGACTAAATCCCAGTTCCTCAGATTTTCCTGAACTAGACATCTTAATAGGTTACCAAGACTACGATTAACAACTTCAGTTTGACCATCAGTCTGAGGATGATACGTAGTGAAAAATTTCAACTTAGTGCCAACCATGTGCCATAAGGTTCTCCAGAAGTGGCTAGTGAACCGAACGTCCCTATCCGACACAATGGTCTTTGGAAGACCATACAATTTAACGATCTCATTAAAATACAGCCTAGCAACCTTGGACGCATCTGAAGTCTTGCTGCAAGGGATAAAGTGGGCCATTTTTGAGAAACGATCCACTATAACAAAAATAGAATCATGTTTCTTTGAAGTACGTGGGAGTCCTAGTACGAAATCCATACTGACGTCTTGCCAAGGACAACTAGGGACGGGAAGGGGCGTGTAAAGACCAGTGTTTTGTCTCTTTTGTTTGGCCAACTGACAGGTGTTGCAAGCACTAACAATCTTAGCTACATCTGTCTTCAAACGAGGCCAATAAAATTGACGTTCAACCTCTTCGATTGTCTTATCACGTCCAAAATGCCCAGCCAGGCCTCCCGCATGACTTTCCCAAAATATAAAGTCTCGTACTGAAGTCCGAGGGATGCACAATTTATTGGACCTAAAAAGATAACCATCCTCTAGACGAAAACCATTATTAGCACCTAATCGTCCACTTTGCAACGCAAGGAAAATGTCCTTGAAATCGGGACATGACTCATAATCTTCTTTGAGTCATTCAAAACCTATGACCTTGACACTCATATTGGTTAAAAGTGAAATGCGACGGCTTAAAGCATCTGCCGCTTGATTTTCAATGCCTTTTTTATGCTTCAAAACAAAAGAGTAGGCCTGCAAATACTCGATCCAACGACCATGCCTAACATTCAACCTCTTTTGGGAATTAAGGTAGCGAAGTGCCTCATGATCCGAATAAAGAACAAATTCTTGGGGCAACAAGTAATGACGCCAATAGCGTAAAGCTTGTACGACTGCATACAACTCTTTGTCATAAGTCGAGTACCGTCGTTTGGCATCATTTAATTTCTCACTGAAATAAGCAATAGGGTGGCGCTCTTGGGTCAAAACTCCACCTATCCCTACTCTAGAGGCATCACATTCTACCTCAAAAACTTTGGAAAAATCGGGAAGTCGCATGACGGGAGCTTCTGTCATTCGCCTCTTAACTAACTTAAATGCTTTGGCCGCTTCGTGCGACCAATAAAATTCCCCTCTTTTCATGCACTCCGTAATAGGAGCCATGATCGTGCTAAACCCTTTAATAAAACGACGATAAAAGGTAGCTAAACCATGAAAACTCCGAACGTCATGTATAGTCTTGGGCTCAGGCCAATCAACAATGGCCTGAATCTTTGTAAGGTCAGCAGACACTCCTGTCGTGGAGACAATAAAACCTAGAAATACAACTTTATTTGTGAAAAAAGAACATTTCTTCACATTAGCATACAGGCTTGTAGCGCGAAGGGTAGAACAAACCTGCGTGAGATGATCTCTATGTTGTTCCCTAGTTTTACTGTACACGAGAATGTCATCAAAGTAGACAACGAGGAATTTACCCATGAATGGTCGGAAAGCTTGTGTCATTACTCTCATAAAAGTACTCGGGGCATTGGTTAGCCCAAAAGGCATGACCAACCACTCATAAAGACCATCTTTCGTTTTAAAGGCAGTCTTCCATTCGTCACGTGGGCGAATCCTAATTTGGTGGTACCCACTCTTTAAATCAATCTTAGAAAATATCGTGGCACCGACCATCATGTCCAACATATCATCAAGTCTAGGGATTGGAAAACGGTACTTCCTGTGATTTTATTGATGGCATGATTATCAACACACATTCTCCAAGAACCATCTTTCTTAGGAGTCAAAAGGGCAGGAACCGCACAAGGACTTAGACTCTCACGAATAAATCCTTTGTGAAGGAGCTCCTCTACTTGCCTTTGAAGCTCAGCATGCTCAGTACGATTCATTCTATAATGAGGTAAATTTGGAAGAGACGATCCAGGGACAAGATCTATAGCATGTTGAATGTCCCGTAAAGGGGACAATAGATCAGGGAGGTCCTCAGGAAAGACATCTCGAAACTCTTGAAGAATTGATTGGACCTCATCAGGGGTCAATATTGGAGATTCCGATGGAACTTCCATGATGACCACGGCAAACACAATAGAATCCTCTTTAACTGTACGCTCAAATTCTGTAGGGCTAATCATATGTAATCCTTTCCGTTCCACAATTTTCTTGGCTTGTTTTGAGTCAACAAGTTTTGGAGGTAAAGGATTAAGGTGAATCTTCTTCCCATTAAACACAAAGGAACATGAATTTGATCGGCCATAAATAGTGACATCTAAATCGAACAACCAGGGTCGACCAAGAATGACGTACCCGACGTCCATGGGAATGACGTCGCACCATATATGATCTTTGTATTCAAGAAACTGGATAGGAACCAAACAACGCTCATTTATGGCAATAGAAGAAGTGTCAACCCAAGAGACGTTATAAGGTTGCGGGTGTGGGACTGGCTGTAATCCAAGACGGGACACTGTAGCCACAGAAACTGCATTAATGCAGCTACTACTATCCACAATAATTTTACAACCCTTGTTATTGATCTTGATATAAGTGTGAAAAATGGCGTGACGACGCCAGTCATCAGCAACTTTAGGGTGGGTGAGGGTACAACGTACAACATTTAGTCGCGAGGTGTCGGGGACAGAAGTCACAGAATCTAGATCTATAGGGAAGGTTCAGATGCAACCTAACAAGGTATCATCAATATCATCCAAATCGTCAAACTCTTCAAACTTAGGTTCATAGACTTGATCTTCTAATGACTCACCTTCTACATCTTTTCGTTCCTCGATGACCAAAGCTCGACTAGGACATCTAGATGCGATATGACCAAAACCTTTACAATTGAAGCATTGCAGGAGAGAAAAAGTTTTTGGAATTTCGGGAGCTTTACCCTTATTTTCCAACACAGGGGGGACATTAGATGGGGGAGGCCCTAGGAGGGACTTAACAGGCGGAGGTGGCACTGATGAGACGAAAGGATGATTGTCAACACGCCTTCCATATGGAGTTTTAGTGACCAACTCATAATCTTGGACTAAAGAATAGGCATGATCAAGGGTAGTGATACCTCGAAGTATAAGCTCACGCCTAAGATCATCTTTTAGGCCCTGTCTAAACCTACTCAAAGTCATGGCCTCATCCTCAACGACATGACATCGCATTCGAAATTCATTAAATTGAGTAACATACTCAGTCACTAGTCGATTTCCCTGTGTAAGGGTATTCCATTGATCCAACAAGTTGCCCTTGTAAGATTGGGGCAAATACTTCTCTTGAAGGTGACGCTTCATTTCCTCCCAACTTCCAACTGGAGGTGCACGACGCCTCTCGAGGAGATCCTCAACACTCTCCCAAAAGAGTTGGGCGGTGCCAATTAATTTCAAACTGGCAAACTGGACACGTCGATCCTCTGGGACTCCATACCATGCCAAGAAACGATCCATGTCTCTGATCCACTGAGTAAAAACTCTAGGATCTAAACAACCATCGAAAGTAGGAGCGTCTAACTTGATATTTCTAAAGTAACGCTCGTCATGGTGTGGAGGAGAATGATTATCACGACGGCCATGATCTCGTTCTCGATCACGACCTTGATCTCTATTCCTTTGATCACGTCGAGGATGTTGTCGGCCACCTTGTCGACGATAATAGGGTACATTATAGGACGCTTCAGAGTTATCAGCGTCAGTCGAACGAGGGGTTTGTTCAAAATTGTCCAACCTAGCAGCTAGGTGTCTACTCTCTTCACGAGTAGCAGCTATCTCAGTTTGGACAGCTGCTATTTGGGTCTGTAAATGTTGCTGACTAGTGACAAGTTGAGCTAATTCTCTAGTGAGTGCATCAAACTGTGAGGGGTCCATGGTGAATGTACTAGAATTAGGTGTGACTAGACGACCACTACGCAACTGCATGTAATGTAATACCAGCTATATGACTTGCGATGGAGAGATCAATGAACAACAAGTGCAAGTAACGAAAAATAGCAACTTGAGCATTTAAACTAAAGGTTTGGGATTAAGTAATTCCAAATATGGCAAGCTAATACTGCTGATAGATGTAAAATCACAAAGCGAGGGTCAAATTACCAGTCAAAATCTAATCACGTAAAATAAGCGGGATAAAAGCGAGGTTTAACAAGGGTTCAATCATGTAATTTCAGGCAAAGTAATGTAATAGCGGAACAGAAAACTAATTGATGCGATTTTAAATTAACAAAAATGTAGACCAAATATAGATAAAAACAGTAACTGCCCTATTTGTTCGCTGAAGTAACTAGGTCAATTAACAAGACAAGATGTACCTGCAAAATAATGTTAGAAAATAAATTCTTCAATTTTTTTTTCACTTCTTCTTTTTTTTTCACTTTTTTTTTCACTTTTTTTTCTTTTTCTTTTTTTTTTTTAACTTACAAAATCAGAATAACAAAACACTAACTGAGCCCATTTCACAAAATTGGGCCTAAATCAAATACAAATTTCCAATCAATTACAAGCCCAAGCCCAAGCCCAAGAATATTAACTGAAAACCACAGCCCAATTAAAACCAACCGCCCACTGTTATCTTAGCTTAATCGTTCTCCTCATCTACGCGATCTGTACAGAGGCCGGGTCCAAGTGGAAGGGATTGCGGGCGGCGCTGAGGCTAATTCGGTGGTGTACCAACAGCTTGGTGAAAATTAATGGCATGGGTCTTCGATTAGGAGCTCCCAGAGAAGATGAAGATGATAAAATTCAAATTTTGGGTTGCGATTTGTATGTGGTTGTGGTCGAACTGAGAATTACCGAAGAGATTATTGCTTGGTTGGAGTTGCTTGGTTGATTTACTATTGATGTTGCCTTCGATTTCAATGGTTGGAGTGAAGGGTGTGGCTACAGCAGGGTGTCGGTTGCGTAGATAAGGTGAAACTAGAGTGATCGGATCGGGATTTGTTGTTACCATGAACAGTTGATGGTGGCGGTTGAAGTGTGATTTGTGGTCAGGATTTGCGAACTGGGTAGAGGCTTGCCTTCAACCGATGGTTGTTTTCTGGTGAAGATTAGTATAGTATTGGGTTATAATGGTTGCAGGGGTGTAGCGAGTTGTTGGGTGGGGTCGTGTATATGTTGAGAGTTGGGTAGCTCGACGATGCAGTGGGCTACTGACGAAGGATGTAGAGTTGGTGATTAGTTTTTGTAGCAGCAGGGTTGACGGTGGTCATTGTGTGATGACAGGTTGGCTATATGGCATTTCTTGCGTATTGGGTAGTTCAGGGGAAGAGGTGGTGATCAGGAACAGACGCAGAGAAGGTGGAGGTAGTGACTGGGTTCTGCAGCAACGAATTTGGGTTTGTCATTTTGGATAGGATGAAACTGGATATGGCGTGTGAGCTATGGATTGCAGGCAGACGACTGAACATCTAAAATGTTTTCCCAAGTTTAGCTCTAATACCAAGTTGATGTAGAATAGGTGGAGAATTTTAAAAGCTGTGAGAGTTGATGAAACCAACAGAAGAAGCAGAATACATATAGTAAGAAAAGAGAAGAGGGAGAGGAGAGAAGGAGAAGAAGAGGGGCGGTGGAAAAAGCCCGTGGCTTTCAATTCATACTCATTTCCATCAAATCTACATGCAACAGGCTGCATGCCTCAATAAATATACAAACAAAGGCTGCATGCCTCAATATAATATACAAACAAAAGATTGGGATAGGGCTAGCCCAAAACACTATACAAGCCCAAAGAAAATAAACAAGGATTGGACCAATACACAAAACATAATATGAGCCCAAATAAAAGTCCAACATAGATGTCCTCTTCACAAACAATTCGCCTAAATCCTATCAAATTTGACTTAAAACTTTCTTTTACAAGAATATTATATGAACAACCAGTGATGCCTCCGAGGCAACTATAGAGCCTTGAAATATTCTAGTAGAACTTATAATTGCCAACACTCAAAAATTTTATATCAGATAATTTTCCTGAAGTAGCCCATAAAATTGAAATTATTGCAGAGTTCAAAGATTAATTTCGGTTAGCTCCAGGTGCCTTGGAATGATAAGCGAAAAGAAGAGTATTTGGCGGAACGAGATGATCATCCTTTGGGGCTGTAGATTGTATTACTGATTATGCTATTTGGCCAGAAAATGATATCCAGAAAGTGTGCTAGAAAATAATGTGCAGTGAAATGATTGGATGAAAAAGTTGAATGTATTTTAAACTGTCCAATGATAGAGTGCTATATAATATTATGTAAGCCTTGACGTACATGGAGCAATGTCCATGATTCTATGAGATGCAGCCGACAAGCTTCAATTACAATATCGAACTTGAAGGAAAATTTCACCAAAGTTGTTTGACTCATTGGCGGGCCCACATAGGGTCATGTGGGTCAAATGACTCCACAAATTTTATGCCTTTGATTTTATTTTATTTTTTTGAAAAAATAGTTGTTTTGATTTCTTTATAACCTACTTTGGTGCACTCAGTACGGAATGACAAATGAAGTCGAAATATTGTATTCTAAATACCATTTCGAAGTGTTCGTGGCCTAATTTTTCGCCCACTAAAGATGTTCGAAATGGTTAACTATAGCAAAAGTTACGACATGTCAAAATAGGCCATTTGAAATTATTATTTCGAGAATTTTGATAATATGCTAACTTTCAAAATTCGTCGGCGATCGTTTGCCATTCGAATCCACAATTGTCTATGTCATGTAGAAGCTCATTTCGAAAACTACGTCATTGTCATATTAAATGGTCCAAACGGACATAAAAAATAGTTAAATATAAGTCAAGCGTACGTCTCAAAAAAGGACGTCTAACTCATTTTTTTCTTTTAAAAAAATTCAATTATTTCATTAGCTTTTGTTATTTTTACACGATAAATTTTTTAATATAGTTTATATCATTTTTATTAGAAAATTTTATATGGAATATGATGTCAAAAAATTTAGGATTGTTACGGGTTAAATATAACTTGAATTAATTTCGAATTACATTTGCTTTAAATTTGAATTTCATTTACTTCTTGAATTAAACTTGGATTTTATTTCAATTTATTTACGTTCCACATTCAATTTGATTTACTCACTATCGGCTCAGCATTTGTCAACAAATTGGTAAACAAAACTATACAAGTAACAAAATTTATTTAATAATATTGATAATAATATAATTATACGACGTTTTAAAGTATCAAAATATGTATTAACTTATCTTCATTAATATTATGAAATTTTTTTTAAAAAAATTATATTTTAATTTTTGACCTCACAGCTCTAAAAGTCTAGATTCACCTTGGTTTTGACTTATAAAATTGGTGTAATTAATGAACCATGCATTCTCCCATGTGCTCAAGCATGGCTCTCTCATTTTGCTTGTTCAACCATGTTCTCAGAGCATAACTACAGGTTTTCATTTTGAAAATATTTCTTAAACTTGGGAATTAGGAGCTATTGTGCTGCTACCTCTTGATAGATCATAGCATGTCTCAGAAGACTAAAAAATTGGTATGTGAATTTTCATTCCGAACTGTGGCTCATGCTAGTAGCTTTTGTTTCCCTTTCGCTGGAATGTCACCTCCTTAAATTTTGCACCTAGTTATAATATGGAAGGGTTATTTGACAATGTGAGATCAGCGACGGAGCTAGACATTCGACATTGTGGGGTCAAAAATTGAAATACAATTTTTTTAAAACAACATATCATTAATCACTATTTCAACTGTAGTCTAAATGTTTTAATTCTCTGAAAACGTCGTATAATTACATCATTATTAATATTGGCGAATACATCATTGATCATTCTCAATGATGTAATTATACGACGTTTTCAGAGTATGAAAACGCGTATACTATAGTTGTAATAGTGATTAATGATATGTTGTTTTTTAAAAAAAAAATTTATTTCAATTTTTGACACCACAATGTCGAATTTCTAGCTCTGTCCCTGCTTAAACTTGCCAAGTTAGAAGCATGAAGCATGCTGTGTCAGTGTTTATTTATCTGATTAAAGAAATTGTACCAGGACATGAGAACTTGGGAGGAATATTGAACGATGAAATAATCACTTACAATGTGCAATAAGTCAAATATTGGATTCAATCTTTTCATCTTCAAAAAATATATGTAGCTTATAATAATGTCAAGTGCTGGCCTTAACTATAGACGAGATAGGCAATCGCCAAAAGCTTCACTTTGGTGAGGACAAAAAAAAAATTATTTGTTTTTTATTTTATATGTATTTTTACATATATATAAGGTCCCATATTTAAAATTGGTTTAAGACCCCTAAAATCTCAGGGCCTATAATGAAAATAGGAGAGAAGGCAAAAAAATAAAAATAAATAAATAAATAAAAATAAAAAAAAGAATAATAATATATATTATATTCTATTCTCATAAAGCTTGTACAATATATGGTATATATAGTATAATAAAATGAGTTATCATCAATGTGATTATGACTGTCCTCTAACTGCCTAACAAAGTGCTCTATGATTGCAACAGATGTACATCTACAAATAACAATTTACAAACAGATTTACAAGTCTCAACAAGGTTTGTTATACGCTAATATCCCCCCGCAAACAAAGAGTGATAGGAGCAAGAACCCTTAGTTTGTGTTTCAGCCGAGAAAAAATGTTGAACAACAAGAGGTTTTGTGAGAATATCTACAAGTTGATCAAAGGCAGGAACATGTTGGACAACTAGAATGTTATTAAGAACTCGTTCCCTAAAAAAGTAGAGATCAAGCTCCAAATGCTTCGTACGAGAATGTAAGACTGAATTAGCACTGAGAGCCACCGTGCTCAGATTATCGCACCAGATGACTAGAATTTTACTTTGATAGATTTGGAGCTCCTTAAGTAAAGATTGCAA